TGAAACAAGATTAATACTTGCGAACATGAAGCTTGCAAATAACAATCTCAAGACGCGAGTCAGAACAAGTAAGAAATAGACTGACCCTACCAGACACATAATGGCCTGTATTGACGTGACTACATAAAGATAGGTTAAAATATCAAGATACAAGCCAAGTATTTCTAGTAAGAACAACAGGTGAAGCAACAAATAATAAAACCTTTTCCATTTTTCGTCATCATAGTACGGACACCATCCGAGCGCACGTTTCCGGACTCGAGCTTGTGATTATCGATTGGTCATCGATTGGCCGATAGCAATCGATAACAATTAACTAATTGTTATCGATTGATATCGATTGATCAATTGGTTTCCGATGATCGATTATCATCGATCGATCACGCCGGGCTTGGATATCATGAAAAACCTCATCCAATTATTGTGTATTATCATTCAGTACATACATTAATAATTATTTTCTGGCCCATTTGGATTACATGCCTTCTAATCTGAGTGTAGCAAAGGTTTATGTGACGAACAAAAGACACTATACTAAAAACCATGCCTGATTTGGTCTTGAGCGCCAGCACAGTGTATTTCTTCACATGCAACCCTCAACAATATGGTTAAAAATGTTAGCATACTACTCTAAACACCCTAACTGATATCAAAATCTGTGATTTAAACAACCAAATGAGATACAATCCATACTCATCTAAGCCAGCAATTGTATTTTGACCGGGCGAGCGCCATCAAGATGCATTATCTTAGATGTACGCTAACAAAATTATCTAGTAGTTATTCAGCAAAGGTGCTTGCATTGCAGGCTTAATAGCGGGATGTGAAGTAACCAGGTCAGCAATAAATATGAATTTAACAATTTTCATCATGAAGTAAATGATTACTACATCACAGATTCCTACAACTATTGCTATAGTATGTTATTCAAATTTGACAAATGTAAATGACAATGAAAGGCATTCCTGTCGAAACACATCTTCCTAACTTGAAAACACTGTACTTTATTTCTAAAAGTAATTTGTTGGTGACCCTAAGTTAGTGAAGTTTCATAGTAAGTGAAAAAGGGTTAAGTCTGCATACGAGCGAAGTAGCCCAGCAGGCCAGAGCTTATCCTGGTTTCTGTAGCATGATGTGACTAGGAGTATTTCTACTCCCCTCTGGATGGGAAGCTGGTCCATCACAGGGTTACCCCCAGAATTAAGGTTGCCGGTACCCATTTATACACCTTGGGTGGAGAGAGGCACTGTGAGAGTAAAGTGTCTTGCCCAAGAACACATTACAATGTCCCCAGCCAGGGCTCAAACCCGAACCGCTAGATCCAGAGTCAAGCACACTAACCATGAGGCCACCACATCTCCAGTGGCGTTTCTAACAGCAGACATCAAAAACAAGAACAGCATACACAGGTCAACAAATCTTTGACATCTCTACTCAATTTTTACAGTTATACACCAAAACTGAAACTATGCAAGAGTGTCTACTTTCTGGTATATTTCAATTACCAGTACGCTTTTTTTTTCTATTTTTTTGCTTCAAAAGCTATGTTGCCATGCATTCTTGTCTTAACATCACGACCTGACTAGTCCTAAGACAAAGTGACCTGGAAAGTGACCTCATGAAATTGGGAATCTTATTGCGAGCAAGTGTTAAGTATTTCTTTTCTTTTCAGTTAGTAATGCTTTGAAAAGTGATCAATTTTTTAAAGCTTTACAAGCATGTTTAATTTTCCACAATTTCCAGAGAAGTAACTTTGCACAACACTTCATTTAACTCACCTTGAACTGTCACAAAGTTAGGATACACTGTAGTATTACACTGTGTACCACTTTGGGGTGGTGTGCATGAACATGTATTCAGGTCTCCTGGAGCATCAATGATGTCATCAGTTGTGCAGTTAGGCAAAGGGAGACACTTTGATGCACCTAACATGGCATATGTATTTGGCGGACAAGGCTTACATTGGTTCTGACCTGAAAGCAGTGAAAAGAGGGAAAAGTACATACATCAAATGTGACCAAGAGGTAGCATATCAAGTCATTTAAAGGCAGGTAGAAATAACGGAAACTTGAAAACATCAAAACAAATGATGCAAACAGAATAGTAAATCAAAATTATACAGGAAAACTCCATAAGATAATACCAGGGCACTAAAACAACATTGGTTCTAATTATGGTTCATAAGTAAATATATCTTACTCAGTGTGCTGTATTGCAGTAAATTTTAGCATGCAAAAAAAGGAAAGCCTCTTGTGATTCTGGATTAATTTAATTTAATTTTAATTTCAGAATTCTTGGAAGTTATCTTAACCCATGACTGTCTTGAGTTTGTACTGGACAGGAGACAATATTGAGTTCATTAGTGTGTTTGAAAAGACCTTTTTGTGTTATGTAATCCTTTTGTGTCAGACTGTAATCGATCTGTTTCGCATACATTACGTCAGAACTTGGCCTTTTTCATTTATCAGTTGAATTTTAATCTTCAGCTTGTGCAGTAGAGATCATATCTTTTTCTTTTGGACATTTTAGAATATCGAGGACACTTGAACTATCGTAGAATGGTAGTCAAGGCATGGACATTTGGACTGTCGTACAATGTAGATTCAGAGTGTTCATGTAATTGTGCATACTCAAATAAATGTTTATCTGATAAACATGCATAACTGTCTCGCATTCTCCAAACCCTCCTTGTGTTTAGAGAGGCTATGTAAACACAGAATAAGTGCTCTATTGCTTGAGTACTTAGACTTTGTCAAGGGTTATATATTGAATACAAAATATACTTAAATGGAATTAAACATAGTTAACAACTAGGAGCTAGTCTGGTCAGTAGCGTTTTTAGTAAGCGGTTGTTAGTGTCTTGGCCGTCTGTTAGCATTTGTTAAGCATTTGGTGCGTTCTGTAGCGTTTGATATAGTTCGATGAAATTTTACATAGTTTATGACCAGGAGCTAGTCTGGTCAGTAGCGTTTTTTGTAGGCGTTTGCAAGTGTCTTAGCCGTCTGTTAGCGTTTGTAAAGCGTTTGGTGCATTCAGTAGCATTTGTAGCAGTCATATGGTTGTGGGAGCCCTGGGGCTGACATTGTCCAGCAGTATTCTTGGTTAGTACATGTGGTGTTGCCCCATGTGCTTGCAGTGTGTTTGTTGCTCTGTTATTGTGGCGTTGTGGGTTGAATTATAGTAGTTTAGCGGTCCTTGGCGTTCCCTCCCTATCCCCCCTCTTTTCAGCAGTTTTTTTTCCTCTTTCCACTGAGCCATCTGGCTCGAGTGTGACGGGTTCCTGTAGGAGGGCCTGGTGCAGGGGGCTCGTGGCTTGGTTGTGGGTTGGGCAGACCAGTCAGGTGTTCTAGCGCCTTGGGGATGTGACTGCGGTTGCAGCCGCCAGGCTATGTAGGCACCTTCCCTCCACTAGCAACTTGGGGGTTAAACAATATTGAAATGTCTTCTTAAAAGGAAACTCAGGGGAGGAATTCCATCCTTCCCCCTCTACCTTGTAACATAGTGTGGGTATGAGTTTGCATACATGCACATCTGAAAGTTGACAAACACTACTTTACACAATAACCATCATCCATGCATAAACCAACCTTCCTGGGACTGATACTGGAAATACGAGCATGGAGTACAACTTGAAGAACCTTTCTTGGTATTGAAATAGCCTTGTGGGCATTGTTTACACGTCACATTTGGTTCCTCAGTACCAACCTGAAATAATAATAAATATTATTAATAATTATAACATTTGTTGCTGATATTTTAACAGTAAACATTAGGAAGCTGCATTATTATTGGGCGGCTTTCACCATGTGTGATATCCCACGTCAGTTTTGTTTTGCCCACTGTACATGTAAAGTAAAAAAAATCCATGTTACTGAGTGTCAGGGCTGGAATGGAAAACATTTGATTAAACTAACTCGAGTTGTACCAGACCAAGCACAGCTGCAATATCCCTTCAAAATGACTGAGAAACTCACTTATTCTTTGGAATTGACCCAGGGCTAAAACAGTGGTGGTTGACTGGTTGCCAGTGACGATTATTTCGTGAAAGTGGACCAAGGCCACAAATTAAGTTACAGTCTGATCACTTGACATAATTATGAATGATACATATTTTATATGGGGCTTAAAACTATTGAAATAACTTGGAGTTGTAGTATAAAGCAAGAAAAAGTGAATTTTACCTTTCAAAAGTGACGAAAAGAGTCCAAAACCCATGGTCATTTTTCAAAATTGAACGTCCGCCATTTTGGACATCTTTCCTTCCGGTTACTTCCATAAAAGGAATGCCCGCCGCCATGCTGTGACATCACTATGCACATGCATTTTTTCACGTCAACAAAATTTGTGAAGAATCGATCTTGAGTCAAACCTGCATTTAGCTTGCATTATGGCTGAGATCGAGCCTTATTCTTTTGAACCTATGCGAGACAGTTCAGAGTCAGAGGAAGACAATGTTCACAAGAGTCAAGATGAGCGCCGAAGAAGAAATACATCTTGGTGTGTATGCGAGTGTTCACTGTTGTGTGAACTGGGAAGTGCAACAAGGAAGCTGTAAATAAAATACAATTTCTGGTGAATAATACTTTTGTATTCAGCAGATGTTGATTATTTTGGCACTAGGAAGCTAATAAACAGCCATGGACTCAGTGGGAAGAAAGCGTTGTTTGATTTATTTCATTTATTTCGTATATTTTGTTGTGGCGTGCGTGGAAGGCTCACTTGGCAGCAAAATGGTTGCGATATAACCTGTTTATATTATTTTGGTTCAGACATAGAGGCAGCTCAACCGACTTCTAGATGTATAACACAGCACCCTCTCCTTCAAATGATTTGTTTACAAAGGGAAGTCCTAAAGATCGCTATCGAGGGTTTGTGTTTAAAAGTGTGCAGAATGAGAGCACCAAGAGAACTAAATAACATGTAAGCTTACAGTATGTACACAAATGGTCACAAATAACTTGCCAGCTATGAGATTTATTTCAAATGTTTCGTTGAGCTCAGTTAATCCTCCAAGATAAGATTCAATTATGCACAAACGTAACATTTCAAGCTGTACAGTGCTATATATAATTTGATTTGAGGACAATCTCAGTTAAAACGTAGTACTTGAAATTCGCGTGTTTTTCCCATGTGCGCAGTGACGTCATGCTATGCGCCCAAGCCTTCAACATGGCTTTCAAAATGGCGGACGTTCAAATTGTTCAGGCACGGAGCTTTTTGCTGTTACAATCAGGTTAAAAAGTTAGTTCACATCCTAAAACATAGCGATTTGATTACGACATATCATGCGCTTTCGTAAGAACGACTTTTTAAAAAATGGGTTTTCGCCTTCCGTTCTCCTTAAAATAAAAGTAACATATAATGTAGCTTTTTCTGACTGCATTTCTTTTCTTTTCTTTTCCTCAACTCTAACTCTGATGAGTTTTAAGTTCGGAAGAATTCCTTGTGGAATCAATGGTTTCAGAATTGCAAATAAAAGATCCTAGCTATTCTGATTACAAATTTCCGGACAGAGTTCTTTCAGGTCCACAAACCACATGCTGTTGCCTCGATAACAGTTTTTGAAAATTTATTCAAATGAATACAATATTTTTTGCGATAGACAAGAGGAATTGTAGACCACTTTACTTTGTCCTGGGCCACTTAAGACTAAAAATTGGTAAAAAAAGGAAAGGAACTAAATGGTAGTCACTGGCTAAAAATATGGTTATCGGACGTTTCGGCCACTACTGTTGCCTTCTTCAGCAAAAGATGGAAAATGCAAATGTTAAACGGCGTCCATCTTTTGCTGAAGAAGGCAACAGTAGTGGCCGAAACGTCCGATAACCCTATTTTTCGCCAGTGACAACCATTTAATTCCTTTCCTTTTTTTACCAATTTTTAACATGCCTGGCTACACACCAAACATTTTCACTTAAGACTATATTTAACAAAACTGGCCCGGAAGTGCACACCGCCAAACAGCTAAGTGAACAAGTCCACATAAGTGGACAGAAGCTTTTTAAAATTTCATTTCATTTTTTCCGAGATACAAAGCTAATTAACACATTCATGAATCATCATGGAATTACCAGGAAAGTTGAGCCAGAGTACATCAGATGAGAGTACATCCCATACCAGATTAGAATCCTAAAGGATCCATGGGTTCAATTCTGTTCAAGCCTGAATTGTTTCCAGGCTTTAATTTGACAACTGCTTAAGTTGAGTATATAACTGGGATGATCAATCATGAAGATAGATTATGTTACTTACCATGGTTATAGAACGAATAAAAGCCTTGTCGGTGTAGGATACTGAACCAAAACTGAAGCAATTTTTGCGAAAAACCCACTTCAGTGTATGGGTGCCCTGGAAATTAAAAAAATTATAATAAACCTTTAGCTTCAAGCTAAACATCAAACACTCCAAGACATAATCCTTGTATTGTCACCAGTTGAACAAAATTAAAGTGGTGAACTTTTATACTATGTCTTCTATTGTATACTTTTTTAAGATCTCAAAGGTTGACCCTGCAAGGCTTAACTTACAAAATAATCACACTTGTCTAACCGTAGGGTTTAACCTAACATGAACACTAGCCTATAGCTAAGTCAGTTGCCCAAGATTGTCATCCTGTTACCAGTCTGAAATATGAGAGTGGACAATCATTAGTAAGGATACCATATATTTAATCTCGGGTTCTCGATAATCAAGAGAAAAATTGTCCTTGCATCCATAAAATTCTGATGGGACTCACTCTCCACTCCCCCTCTAAAAAAGTAAGCCATCCTGAAATAAGCCTTGCAAATCTCAGATGCATTTAACACCTATGAATGAATGATTTTTTTAACTGCCGCAGATAAAAGAACAATTCTCAGAGAATATCATGTGGTCTGTAACGTGAAAGCAAACCGCCGAAGCTGAAAGGGTCTGTTACATAATTTTTATTAAAAAACTGGATCATTGGATAATGCAATACAAGAGTTTTCATTGGCTTAGCCATCATGAGTTATGAGCCATTACACCATGCTCTACAGATATGGTAAGCATATGCATGATTTCTTGGGGAGTTTTTATTTTTCTATCAGTTTAGTTTTCTATCATTTTAAGGCATTTTTAATAAAACAATTATTCTACTTACGCTAAAGTTAGATATGAGACGATTATAGCCAACTCAGAGCTGTGCGCCTCGTTAGCCATCTACATGCGCTTGTGGAATAATTGTTATTAAACTTTAAGCCGCCTAATTTAAAATAATTAAATGAGGAATGAAATATAATGGTTGTTTACCACTGTCACCCTGTACGTCATGTTAGACCACTGAAACTGGTTTCCCTGGAACTCTAACATTTGCTGATTGTCAATATAAAAGGCCAAACCATCACATCCGAAAAATCCTGGTCTCCCACAGGTTCGGCTGTCCACACGATAATCAAAGCTAACTTGGCTGTTATCCATGACAAACTTCTTGTTGGGCATTAGCAGTACAGATGTCACACACCTTGTCTTAGTATTATCCCCAGAATTGAGTGTAAAGTTATCAGCTGTATAAAAAAAAAAAACAGCAATAAAAATTTAAGAAATAGAAAACTTTTTCTTTTGAGTTAGAGAAGTTTAGGAGAACAAAATACTGTAACACTATAATAGAAACATGAGTAACAAGAAAATCGCATGGACTGAATTGTCTTTGGGACTTTGCAGTTGTCTACGTGCACGCCTGTTTTTTCTATAATTTCACGTTTTTTAAAGTCAAAATACCATTAATGTCTTTCTTTTAGTCTTCTTAATAACTTAATCATCCATTTGGATCTAAAATTACCTCCAACACTTCAGGAAAATGAAAAAAATGTTGTCATTTCATAGACGAGCAAGGGCCACTGTATTCTAATGGCTGTTAGTGTGCGAGTAGCTCAGCCAATCAGATTGCAGCATTTGCATTAGAATACTAGTCAGAGGAGGTTGGACACGCGCTGAACTGCATTATGGTAGAGGTAATTAACCAATCCTGAACGTGTATTTTCTTGCAAGTCGATTTGGAAGGAATCGTCGCTCGAAGGATGAAGAGGATTTCTTGAGGTGTTTTCTCGGGATTAACAAGTTAAGTGATGCAGTTGCTTAATGGAAAAGAAAGGTAAGGGTCTAAAGATTTAAGTTTTCGCTTTTTTCAACCATTTTGTCAAATTTTCCTGCCACTATTGGGATTCAATTGTAGGGGAGTCCAAAATGGCGGATCGTGGTCACGATTTACGATGTGCATAATCAACCAATTCTTGCTCTGAAACAATGGAGTTTTCAACCAAGAAAAACGTACCATTGTATTCTAGAATAGTTATAGTTTGTTTCTAAGACATTGCACCCCATCGCACCTCCTACCGTTTTCTCGCTATATTCATCTAAAGTTTGACATTTGTTGGTGGTAAACAAGAGAGCACTATTGTCAAACACTAAGGGAAACTTAGTTGTTTTCGAGGTATTTGTTTCTTTTTAACTCGATTTATATTTTTGCGGCTGTAAGATTACATTGATGTTATTATTTTTA